TAAGGAACTCCCAGTCACAGAATCAGGCTTGTCTAGAAGACCAGAATTCCCAAGAAGCCCGGTAAGATATGTGTTCTTGTTTCTTACATTATAGCCATCTTCACTATGTTAACTTTCTTCTGAAAAAAGGTCTTACATTTAATAATCTCAGTCTCAGGCCTGACCTGTGATTCCTTGATACCATATTTCAGTAAATTATACTGAGAATAACTTCTTGCCTCTACTTCTCACAGTAATCAGGAAAACTGTACACAATACGTTTGTGAGCATATGCTATCCAGCTCATGGAGGATAATCCTGGCAGCAAAAACATTATAGTTACCGAAAGTGGGAGAAGAAGGCGGCTGACCTTCGTCTGCAGAACACAGGAATGAATGAACCTTAGAGTAATAGTACTTGTTAGTTACCACAGGCTCAAGCCAGTGAAGGTAGAAAAAAAACAGAAAGAAATTCTAAAGGAAACAGAGAACTCAGGTGTCTCTTTCTACCAGTGACTGAAAGACCTACCCCTAGCTGTGATTCAAACACCACTGAACAGGTCTGTGGATCCTATGTTAAAAGAGCATTATTTTTTTGATTAAATTGTGCTTAATCGCATGCAGACGGAGTCATATTCACTTTCCACTTCCTTTTCCAGTATCCTTAATCTGAAAATATATCTCACCTCTAAAAAAGTGCCTTCGGCCTTCCACAGCTTAATGCAGATCCACAAAGGGATACAGATCATGGAGGAGAGAGCCATCATCCACCCTATGCCATAGCCCCAGCCAGGGTATGTATATACGTTGTTATATTTCAAAGGTTTATATTTTACCAGGAAAAAGATGAAGATTCCCTGAAATAAACAGAGAAATGTATTAGCAGTATTTGAAACAACATTGTCTATGTAACACGAAAATGATTGTTTACATAGGCGAGCTCAGTCTCCCTAAAGATGGAAAGTAGCGCTAAGCTTTGAAGTCAGAGGTAAAAACACAGCAATATCCTCTTTTATGGCCAGCTGAAAAAATGTGTCTCAGTTCCTTTCACAGAAATGAACAACCTTTCAAGTTTAAATCCTATTTACCTCTCGTTGAGAATAAAACGTGCACTTTGCTGGCAAACCGTACCTGGGCAGGAAAGATTAAGTTTTGCTATGGAGAGCCAGCTGTGATTAGGCGACACAAGCTGGGCACTCTCCAATCTGTCACTATGAGAAAGGAAAGACAAAATTTTCAAAGTTGCCTTAATCCACTGTCTGTATTTGCAGTTCCGCATGCCAAATCTTTTATCCTCACAAAAGCTCAAATATATCTGTCTAAACTTGACAGGGGTCTAATTAAGCAGTTTGGATCATTTACATTTACTAATACAGTAACATAGAAATGGTAATTATTTTTCTCAAAAGTGATGAAAACACTGTACAAGAGCAAGTGATGCTAACTTCATTTCAGAGCTGGGGCAACTGAGTCACAAATTTTCCCAAGCTTTCAAGTAGAATCAGTGGCAGAGCCCAAGGGTACTTGGATCTGCAAGTGCCCCAATATCTCTGCTTTTGTTCCTCGCTATCATTTACACATTGGACAACTGGAAGGTTTTAGTATCTAATCCTTGAGGTCTTGTGGATCAAATTTAGGGGCTATAATTTACACAGGCTCTTTTGTAATTTTGTCTCTGTTACATAGCCACAACAGATGGCCATGAGTGAGCACTGCTCACTCTGTACTGCTACCGGTACTGCCAGCTCCTAGTAAGGCAAATTCCAATCCCTCCTTCTCGCATAGGAGATGTGCCTTTGGCCTCTTCTATTGCTCTAGCTGGAAGAAAGAACGTCCTATTTCCTCTGAGAAACATCTAGTTACCCAAAGAGAGGGAAGGAAATAGGAGGCTGGAGTGTCAAGGAAATCAGCAGAAGTCTGGTGGAACTTGAGTTATGCTGGGCAGATTCAAGGTGTACTGACAATGCAGTGAAAAACCTCCACTGCATCGGCAAATTTGCATTTAAGTTCCTGAGTTTATTTTTTCCCATTACTGTATATACTAGGAATTCTCACAATTCAAATATATTTAACAAATTTTTACAGATCCTACAGAATGTTTCTGAATTACAACATATGCTACAAATCAATAGGCTTTTTTCTCAACTGTTGTTGCAAACTTCTAAAAATCTGTGCAGAAGACCCTATTTAGGTCTAAAACAAGTTACTAAGATATTCTATACTTACTGCGCAAATACCTGGAGTTAAGACCATCCAGCACCATTTAATCAATGACAGTGGTTTGTACCCAATCATATCTTCAATGTTATCATAAAAGCGATTGCTACCTGTACCAAGAGAAGCAAAGCAAAAGCAGATGAAGAATGTGTGTGCAAGAGGTTATACAGTTTAGTATTTAAAATGGAAAAGAGAAAAACGAAGGCTCTGACAGAGCTACAAAGACTGAAGCTGTTCTCCCACACATACATCTGTCACCTGCTTGTAGTTGTGGCAGAGAGTGCTGCTTTTAGAGCAGGGATGTCTTATTCATTCATATACTGGTTCTTGATTCACTGGAGTTTTAAAACTCGTACATTAGGGTAAAATATTTCAGGATCTGTTTAGGAGTGGAATGGATCAGAAATCCATTCCTTGGGAGTGAGAATGTCTAACAGAAGGGCGGTGTAGTGGGCAGAGTGTGGGAACAGTTTCAGCCATCTGCTCTTAATCAGAGCCCCGTGTAGACAAGTGCAAGATAATAGAACCCAAAGAGATTATTCCAAGAGATGAAAGGGTAACATATTCAGTGTGTTTCCTAATACTGGGAGACTGAGGCCAGAGAATGCCATACTGGAAGTTGTTGCTTTATATGTATCTGCCCAATATGAATGAAAAGAGAGTAGGAACGGGTGAGCTGTCAAACAGAAACGGCTTCTGGTCAATAATAGTCTGAGCAGGCCCAATTAAAGAGTAAATATGCTTCAAGCTCATTTGTGAATCCCTAGACAGCCGGGGACACATGCATTTCACAAAGTAAAACTGTCATTCTTTTGGATGCAAAGAAATGCTTGTCTATGTACCATGAACATTCCTAGCATCGTAGTGTTCTTTCTCCTGACTTTGCTGAAACAGCAGAGCTGGGAACACTAATATGTGCTTTTGTGTTAATGAGGCACTAATTCCAATCCCCTGGATTTACCTGTGAGTATCAGGAGTAGAAGGGAACCAACCCTACACAGACACTTGTAGGAGGAGGAACACTTATTGCCACTCCTGCTTTCTAAGGCAGCTAGCTCTCTAAGGACTTTCCCTGATGGAGAAAGGTGGAGGTCAGTCCTGGCAAGGAGCAAGAGAATAATCAGTTCTACTGTTCTTGTGAATTGGAGTGGAAGAAAGGCCTTCCCGACTTTTAGTAGGGTTTGTAAGGGAGTAAAGCTCTGTGGGCCCCACTCCATGAGGGCACAAGGGCTTTGCTTTTGCACAGATAGAAAAATCACATAGAAAACTCAAAACCACAGCAATTTTCAGCAACTCACCATAAACCCAGCCTATGCAGACACATTCAAATATGGCAACAAAAAGAAGGCACATGCCACTAGCTGCGTAAGAGTCAAATAACTGAAAGACGTACATCCCACCCTGAAACATAAGAAAAGAAAAAGGAAAAAAAAATCAAAATAGTGTGTCAAAATCAAAAAAAATCAAAATAGGCACCAGTGGCAATATTTCATACAAATATGGATTTAATTACACAGCCAATCTATTGGTTCCCTGACAATCTTCCTACCTTCTGGAACAAAGGATGTTCATTTTTCAGTGACTTGTTATTGTGAAGGATTTTTTTTTTCCATACTACCTAAGATTACCCCCCTATGCCAGTTGAATATTGAACAAATATATGAAGTTTTCCAGCTGAAATGATGGGGCACCACATTTGACCTGTTTGCAAAATGCTCTTCCACCTCTGTACCTTTTTCAACTTCATTCGTTACCTCATCGAGCAAGTGCTGCTTCTGATCTGCACATGAACATGCAGGGTTTTTTTTTTTTTTTTTATAATGTCTGTTCCATTAATATGTAAAAGTATTAGTTAAATCTTGGGAATGAAAAGAAAAACCGATAGCCGCTAGAATCACTCTCCAATGGCATATGGCCCTGTAAATTGAGTACACTGACCTATAAAGTTTGAATATAGCTCAGAAATGTTCAGCTGAATTAGTTATGTGAGTCATTATTATTTTATAGAAAATGAAATAGTATCACCACGACTTCAAGTAAGCCTTTTTCTTTACTGTTTTCCTAGCAAGTCAAAAAATATTCTCTGAATGGCTTTAAAATAGCAACCTATGCACTTCCAAAAAGGAGAGCAATGAAAACCAAGCAGGGTCCTATGCTGACATGGAATCTGTGCCATGGATTCCAATGCACACTATACTGTCAATGATCCTGTAATTTTCTGCATCCAGCAATGCCACAGGTCAAACCAGTATGATAAAAGGTAAATATGCTTAACCCAGACATAATTTTACTTCCTCACTTTAACTTACTGTTTGACTACCACCCAATTATTTCAATTGCCACATCTACCAAAGACATAATTCTTTTCTTCTTTTTCTGTAATTTTTCTCTTGCTTACAACAGTCCGAACTGTTCAGAAAATTGGCTGGCTTTCTAGCTCCTCTGCCTCTAGGCAAGATGAGAAGACAAACTATAATAAAGTCCGATTAATAACATTATAGAAAACTTTACTAATAGAATTATACTAATATTACATCATTCTCTATGCAAGATACTTAACCTCTTATCACATATGCATTTATTATTCAAATAATGAGGAGAGGATTCACAGAAGAAGACCACGTCAATAAATAGGAATCCTAAGACTTCCCTCTTTGCAGGAAGCTATGTAAAGGAAATAGGGACTTGAGATCGCCTCTCTAATTGAAATGTAAAGCTATTTGGGCAATGCCTATGATCCATTACATCTGAGACAGTTTTCTGCAAATGGAAGAGAACCTTAAACTGCAGAGACAACTGAATCGAAAAGGCAACCCCTAGGATTTCCCTTCTTTTTTTCTCTGCATTAGCTGTGTGAAAATAAAGATAGACTCTATAAGCTCAAAATTCTGTTTAAATCTTGTTCCACAAAAGAATGTTCTAAAGTAACTATATACATAGAACTGCATCAACCTCCAAGCAGCCATTTGACAAAACTTCTGCTGTAAAGTTATGAAATGACTCTGATGTCTGAATGGAAAAGTTTTCCTAGAAGGAAAAACATCTTTTATGAATTAAAAAAAGCCTGACAAGATTCCAGGAATATATATTTAGAAATGCGAGAGAGGATTAAGGCAGAGCTGGGACATATATTTATGCTTGGAAATCTCACTCATGCATAAAGCTTTGATACCTTACAGAAGTACCACAAAACGAGGTGCTGTCTGCTAATATTGTCACCTGAGCATGGGATCACAGCTCTTTAGACTGCCTAACTGATGATGTAAATAAGCCACTTCGCTCATTAACAACTTAGGATTCTCCAGCAAACCTGAGGAAAAAAAGGATTTCTGAGCTTCAATGTTTCCCTGGGATTTGACTGACATTCAAGGAAAAAGTTAAAGCAAAAGAATTGTGGCGTGCCAGTCCTCTCGGGCCAGAATGCAAATGCTGAAATCAAAATTTTTGAATTAAATTAGATTCTCTTTGCTCCTCATGCAGACACTTTGTTGATTATTAGCTACATTACTTTTAGTCTGTGGTGCTGCCTCTGTAATCAGACTACTTCCCAAAGTCTCATAAGCAATATCTTTGCTACCAAGAGCTCACTGTGAGGTGCAGCAAATATCTGAGAAAAACTGCAGCTTAGAGATCAACCAACTAACATGATACAAGGTAAGGGAAGCACTTCTGCAAAATTCCTGCAAAAACACTGTCATTTGGGAGAACTTGCTTCCTCTTCTTTCTTCATGCTTATACTCCTTTCAGCCTGTATGTCTGGATAATATATCTCTCACTGCAGTGTTTAACACTTGCACGGGGGAAGGAATTATTCCAAAATTTCCCCATTTTACACAGCAAGAATAATCTCCTACTAAGAGTAAGAGCGGCTGTAGGCAAATTGGTCTCTGTAAGGCTGCTCTGTTCCAAGTCTCAGCTTATAAGACATATATCTGGAATAAATTCTTAAATCAACCAGTGTCAACACCTCTGTTCTCACAAGAAACTGTAACACACAATACCTTTCATTAACTCACTGACTGACTGAGTTCTAATATAAAATCAGTTATAACTATTGTTCTTGCAAAAAAATCCTGGAAATCCCTTCTTAATTTTCATCCTGTAATTATTCATGGCCAGCTTGCACCCCCTGGGTTGGGTAGGGGTGAGAAGGAGCCTTTCTTTTTGCATAAATAGTTTGTGTTTATACCCCATGCTACCTTGATGATGGGCTTATAAAAAGCAACCACATGCCTTTGCTAATATTTTCATCATTTTGCTGGTCTATGGTAAACCAAGCTCTGCACTACTAGGATCATCCTATTTGCTTTTGTTTTCCGGTCTGTCATCTTTCTGAATGTAAGCAGCCAGAATCATATATGACATTGCACAGGAAATCTTACTGGTCCAATCATGGGACTATTCCCATCTTTCAACTGAAAATACTTCTCCTGAAACATCTCAGAAACCTATTTTATGTCTACATCACATTGGTGGTGCCTAGTTTCACATCCAAATACTTCTCTTTCCTAATTCTTCAATTGTTCCTAATCATTTTTAACACCTAATAGGAATGTTTACTACTCCCATATGGGTGGGAGTAGGACAATACCTTGTACTACTATAGTCTATCCCATCTTTAGCACTCCCATCACACAGTCCTTCCCTGCCAATATGCCTTCTTCTGTAACTCAGGAACGTGAGAAGCCTGATTTAGACTTTTGCTTTACAGATGACTGTGAGCCCTTATAATCGATGCAGTCATTAGGCCAACATTTTTTGTGAATTCATCGGTGTTTAACAAAGACTAAAACTGTATTTCGGTCTTTCCACCAGTCAGGACACTTCTAGGACTTCTATATCTGGCTGCCAACTTTCATGAAAAGTGTAAGAACTTCCTATCTTTGAATTTTTTTTCTGCTAAATTGACTGAAACCTGCCAACAGGTTCAAAAGCTAAAGTGAAAGAATGCATAGTCAGAGAGATAGTTGCATGTAGCCTATGATGACATATGCCCTGTTTCCATAGCAAGCCTACTACAAATATTAGATAAAATTGCTATCGTGAGAGCTATCTGTATAACTTCACTAAGACTCTCATTCCAGCCACTGCCTCTTTTAACACTATAAGTTGTCATCTCCTCTGTGTCCAGTTACTTACACTAATCCTCTTCTTTTGAATACAGCTAATAATTTTTTTTTGTGGTGCCTCTTCAAACTCTTCACTGCAGTCTATAAAACTTTTCCTCAGCTGCATGTCAGATCTGAATGTCAGATCTGTTATCAAGGAAAGGTATCTGATTAGTCTGACGAGAAATGTCACTGAGAAAAACCATATTTCATTTTATCCTGGTCTCCATTTTCCTCCCCATCTTTAGTTATTCTCTCCTTCAAAGGGAATCTAAAGCTAAAGTGTTTTAATTAGCTGATTTATTCAAATTTGTTCCCAAAACCTGCATACTGAGTAGAGACTAACATGCTTATTATTACCTAATGACCTTTTTTTAAAGCAAAATTTGCTCGTTTCCAGTAACAAAGCAATTAGAAAAGCACACGGTCTCAAGACTATGGATCTTAAGGAAGTGGTATAACTGACCCCTGGTTAGTTGATGAAGCCCTAGGAGGCTGCTTCAACTGTAAACCCTGCCTGAGGTTGCTGCACAACAGAGTCACATAGTGGCCCTTCACAGTTAGTAGAGACAGGCTTTCTCATACATTCCTTGGACATTTAATACCACGGATTCTCAGAAATGCAGCTCTTCCTTCACCTCTTCCCCTTGTACAGGGAGGATCTAATGGCCCAGTGGCCCAGCGAGCGGAAAAAAAAAAAAAAAAAAAAAAAGTAACTAATCTGGAGAAAAAAAAAAAAAAAAAAAGAGAAAAGTATTTGTTTGCTGTTTTCATTTTACTTTATCTTCTTTACTCAAGAGCGAGTGAACAGAAACCATGCTCAGTACAGCCAGTTGGCTGGTGCCAAGATGATGGAACTTCCTTGGCTGTGTAGCTTTGATTAAAATATATCTTAAGCTCAACTGAAAATCTGAGGATGCATTTCAAATGTTACACAATAGGTGAGAACAGTCGTTTGCTTATTTTGTACTGATATACCTGACAGTGAAGTCTGTCTAAGCCAAACATATGGCTATGCCTTGAATCTGTCATGATTTATAAACAGACATCCATTTCCTTTTTTGTCTACAGTAATACAACAAAGAATATCTTACCTCAGTTAACATTACGAGGCCAATGAAGTATGACACAACGGAAAGGCCGAGAATCAACAGTTCTCTTCTATAGCCCCTTCGGAAAATCTTTGGGTACATATCTACAACAGCTGTCACAAGGCTTTCGACACACACAAACTACAACAAATTATAAGAAAGTACAAATAAAATATGCATCTCATCTGCTCTCTGGATTTGGATTTGCTACAAAACACTTCAAATACCCTTCTGTGTTCTCATCACCGAGACAGACTGAAAGATCCCTGAGGATATGTTGTAAGGAGAAGTTCAAACTGAGAGGAACATCATTTCAGAACTAAGAGGCCCGAGAAGATTTCCAGTCCACCATCAAATTCAAATAGCTGGATCCACTAATAATACCTCAGAATTTGCCTTGCAGCAGATAGCTAACATAAAATTTACATCTTTCAAATATGTCTTGAATGGGACTTAAATGATGAACAAATCTTTTCATAGGACTGCAGCAGAATTTCTCTCTAAGCATTCTGCACAATTGTCACTCAAAGGAACAATATGCAGTGCTCTGCACAGTCAAGCACTGTGTAATGAACTTCAGCAGAAGTTCACTGAGTTGTCTCCATTTTACAGAAGAGGGAAGTTCAGCAAAGACATTAAGTGTCCAAGCCATGTACATGCAACGGGGAAGTGAAGGAATATTCCTACTAACTTTAAAGATCACCAGAGGACAGGAGACCTGAGCTTCTGACTCAGGGCTCTGGAGCAAGGCTTTTAAAATAGGCAGCTGAATTAATGCCCCAAGGCAGACAATATAAGGACTGCTTCACTGAAACAGCCAGGAGTAAAATTCAGGAACTGCTAATTTTCATACTTTTTTTCAATATATTAGATCAGGTTTCCTTCCAGGAAAATATGGGCATTTCTTCTTGAAGTATGAAGATACCGTAGGAACTTACATTCAGTTTCAAAATTCTTTGCAAATCGCTTTAAAAACAGGAAAAGGGGAAAAACTAGCATTTTAGTGAATTGTGGATTTTAACCACCCGTATTTTAAGTTCACACTGATTTCCGTGTTAATAACGAAAGCTATATTCAGGCTGAATCAGTGCTTGCAATAAATGATAAAGGAATCTCCACTATCACATAACTAAGATTTAAAAGAAGGAATTTGAATGAATGGTTTTAAGCAAGGAATTCAGTTAGGGTTCACATTCTTTCATCAGGTTAAATGCCATTAACATCAAAGACGTTGATATATAAATGCTAGGGAATCTGACAAAATATTTAAATTGTGTTTGTTTCATACCTGACTATCTAATCCAAGGAATATGAGCATCATGAAGAACAGAGCTGCCCACAGAGGAGAAAGAGGCATCATGGTAACAGCTTTAGGGTAAGCAATGAATGCAAGTCCTGGTCCTGAAAAGGAAGAAAACAAAGGAGACAGATAGTTTCCACTTGATTGCTCTTGAGCAGAGCTAAATATAAGATTGAAAACCCTTGACAAACTGCACATTTCTGTAACAGTCTAAATTTTTGGTGATGAGGCTAATCAGTACTGGTGACTTGCTTGGCACATCACTCTGCCTACATCCTATCTAAATGTCTGAAGGTCAAGATTTCTGGTAAGATATCACTGTGCCTGTATGTGTGGATGTACAGCAAGACTCATATACCTGGATAAAAAATAATGTGTGGGTTCTATGACTGCCTTATTAACATATCTTCTCCTTTTTTTTTCTCCTCTAATACAGTAATGTAAGTAATGCATCTACATTTTGTGCAAGTATGCAGCTAATGGTAAGAGCTTCGCAGCAAGAGCTGCATCTTGGAAGCCATACATGGTGCAAGCCAAAATGCTTACTCGTTTGTTCAAAACCTGTGCTCTGCATTTGCCCCAGCCACATTTTTTATTAATTCATTGGCTGCATATTTATGGAAATCTTTTTAATATAACATTCTTGCAACAGCATTGATAACTTCTCAAATCTACTAAAATACTATCTCTCTCCGCTCACATTTTCCTGTCTTGGAGACTTCCGGGAAAGAGAAATATTTTCCGTGACAGTATCAGTGAAGCCCTACTTGCTTTGCAGTTTTCTTGTTAACCTTGACTAACTTAATGAGAGCCATTTCTCCTTTTCAGCAATTCAGCATTATACTGCTTTTCTTTCTGGGTAAGTCCTCCTGTTCTTTCTGTTCTGTTAAGTGCTACTTAAAGCCACAAAGGTATTAAAGGGCCATTAACTTTCATTAGATGCTTAACTCCAAGTAATGGTAAGTTAGATGCTTAATTTCTTGTACCACTTGGCCTTGTTGCCGTTCTGGCCTTTAAAAAAGAACTATTGTACTTAATCAACTGGACTGTATCAGCATATGTCCCTGGGAAAAAAAACTCAACAGCATCAGGACCAGAAAAGTAGTTAAGAACTCTTCTTATAGCAATTACTCTAATGAGTCAGGTAACAGGTACTTAAGAGGAATTTTCTATCTGCAAAACAGTCTGAATGAATGTCAACTTATCTATAAGACGTGGTACAGACTAAGTATTCTGGCAACAACCTCTAGGCATTTCTGTTAACTCAGAAAACTGTTTTTGGAACTTACCTGATTCTGCTACTTCGGCAATGGGCACTCCTTGTTCATAAGCCATAAATCCAAGAACTGAGAAGATAGCAAAACCAGCAACAAAGCTTGTGCCACTGTTCAAGCAGCAGAGCATGATGCAGTCTCTGAAAATGTAAATAAAAAACACGACAGTTGATCTCTTGAGAGTTGCTTTCACATACTGAGCCATAAAAACGGTCACAATTTGTTTGCTGGAAAAAAAATCTTATGGTTAGATCTTGACTAACTCTATTTCAGTTACAGTATAATGGCAATCTACACGCATACAGAATATGATCGCAGTTTGTTTTAGAAACAAAGTTTTTTAGAGCAATGGTAACAAAAATCACTATCCACATTCAAGTCAGCAGCCTAAAAAGTAGGCAAAGACAGAATGGTCATGGACACTGATCTCTCAACCACATGTGTCTTACACATCAGGCAATGAGAAATGCAAGGCTGAGGCAAAGTAATATTTCTCTAGCTAGACTGGAAGTGTCACAACAGTAAATCACTTAAAACCAAGGGAAAATACTTTTGGAGAAATGTGCTATTTTCGCCCAGAGCTCAGTGAAGTATCATTGTCCACCCTGCTTTCAAAAAGTACTTCAGCCTCAACAAATGATGAGGTAGGTATGATTTATCATGGCAGTCAGTTTCTTAAGACTGTTTGCTACAAGACACAGCTGTGTACTGGAGAACGTAACACTCTAACCTAGAAGCCTGAAAGTAAATTGGGATCCTAAAATACTGAAACATAAGGCAAGCCAGTAGCTCTGTCAAGCCTATAACTTAGCCTGGTTTTTCCCATCCTGCTCCAGCTCTGAAGCAAATTTTCAAGCAAGCAAGAAGAAATGACCCTGACGAATCTAACAGGTTCTGAATGTGCAGCCTCAGATAACATGGAGCCCATCTTTCTCATAGCTTTGTAGTGACTTACTGAAAATCAGAGACATAATTAATCTGTATTTTTGAGGTCCTGTCATATATTCAAGTAAAACTTCTTAGGCAATCTCTCTGTAACTGTTGCTTCTCTAATCTGGTATTTTTCATTCTGCAACCTCACATCATCAGTTTCTTAAGTTAAAAGTGGGGTAACCAGTTTCAGCATCCCACATCTAATTCCTTCACTAATGATCCCCAAGCTACCTCCCATATCTATTCAAAGCTCTTCCTGTTACTGACTTTGATTCAGCTTAGCGTTAGGCACGTACATTCTAAATGGCAGGAAGCACATATACATTTCAACACTACCAAATGAACGATCTGCTGAATTATGGCCACTGGACAATGAGAGGTTTGGGCTTTCTCTCATTACACCTTACCTACAGTTAGTTTTGACCATTATTTTGAGAATGCTTCTATGCTTCCATAACCATTTTGTAGAATGATTTATTTTTATATATGGTTTATCATCTATAAATTGCCAAAATTTGCACAGAAATGAAAAACTGTCAACACTTCCAAACTGTAGATCAAGAAATGGGTATGGAGTAGTTCAGTGACTTGACAGTTCTTTCACATGCATGCTCTCTAACACTGTTTGGTATCAGCAGGGGTAGCTAGGTCCCTTAAAAGACTTTCTGAAAATTGTCACAATTCTAACTTATTTACTTGTTTTTCATATAGAATTGCTCCCAGCATTTGTGGAAAGCCAGTCTAGTCATGCACTTTGAATGGTACTACTATGTAGCCAGTTTCCAGCTTAGAAAATCATCAGCTATCATTGGAAGTACGTTTTTAAGCAAAATAGCAGTCTGAAAGAAAACAACTGGGAGCACAAGTTCTTTGTGCTTTGTGAAGAAATAGAACAAGGAAAAGGCACATCCTCCCAACCATTCTTCTCAGTGTATTTTGTCACTGAACAAGTAACCCTGGAGAGATTCACACCACAGCATATCTCACCTAAGAATTAGGTCAGCTCAGTGATGAGAAATTAAGATTAAGATATGATGAAACCCTGGCAACAAGAGATGTCAATAAGATTTATTTTTTTTGTCCTTTGGAAAAAAGGGATACTGCTTTAGTGGGATATGTCTGGCTGCTCAGCACCCATATGATGCTTCCTCAAGAGAAAGGCCATAACCGTTTCTGCACTCACAGGGAAGACCTGTGAAACATGGGAAACCATGAGGTGGTTTTGGTACAGAATAGTTCTCCAGGTACAGAGCACATGAAGTAGGAACAAGAGCATTTTCCTCTTCTGTCTACTGAGGATGGTTGAAGTTAATTCTAACCCTGAGAAGGCGTGACTGGATTAGGATCGCTTAGCTTCCTAAAACCTTAAGGGGAAGGAAGCATCAGTACGCCTTTTTTAATTCACTTGAGGAAAACATTTCATGACATTGATGTTACTGACATTGCTTTCATCTCTTCATAAAAGTCACTTTTGATGTAAACTGTTGTAAATCCAGGGAGGTCCTGGCCTCAAATAATTTTCTCATTGTATTAGTGTATTACAATGAAAATTAGTAAAGATATTAAAAGTTCATTTCCTATTCAAAGATATGAAGTGACTTATTTGCAATTCATTTACAAGGTTAATGAATTAAATCAGGTTGCTAATAAGAAAAACCCATGTGCAGTTCGGTTTTCTACTCCCTTTTCACACTAAAACACATCATGTCATTATTTTCCACTGCAACTTTCCCTTAGAAAAATTTTTTTAGTACAACAGAATGCAAAAAGACTGGGCGTATATGTCACATTTAGATAATATCAGACACTGTGGATATTTCAAGAGACAAATCCATAGCTTGCTTCTCATATTTTTTAGCGTTGGTTAGAACATAAGTCTAATTTCACTTTCCACTGTCCTGAAGAGGCTGCTTAGCTGCTTTGTATGTCTTCCACTGTTAACATTCATTTAATTCAACTGCTTTCTGCAGCATAAGATGTTAGTTTCTGTCCAACTTATTTCCTCAAACTTCTTAAGAATCATACTTTGGGGCACAATAAAATCTGTCATATTTAGAAAATTTGTGAAAGCTTTCTGTTAAAGGAATCATGGAGTTTGGATTCAGTACAAAGTATTCCTGCTCCAGCATCTTGTTCAGGGCATTAGAAAGTGAGCTACTGACTTCTTTTTTTAGACAGTGATCAAACTATGGTGTTAGAGTCAGAGGAAAAGAAGAACTACATAAGCTTTCTGATCACACATCAAAATTCCTGCTTTTTGTAATGAGTTACAAAACTACAGCAAAGGATTACTGCAGTGCTTGAGCCTGTGACAGAGTAGTTTCTCGATGGGATGCAACAGGAGAGAAAGAAAATTAAAAAAGAGGGAAAAGAAGTAGCTTTGCTTAAGGCATCACTTGTGGTGGTGAGGGTAAGCTTTAATTACCCACTGTTCTGTTGGGACATTCATTACCCCTCCGTTGAGGCATATTTATTCTGAAGATAATGTAAATCAATATTGTTTGAAGTCTGTACAGGATCTGCACTAATTTATGCAACAAAAAGTTTGGAATTTTGGCTGTCATGACCAAATAAAGAATAACTTATGTTGCCTCTGAGCTACTTTGCATGTTCAGGGAGCAGAATACCCTTAACTGCTGCTGGATAATTCTGCAAACATTCAGCTGGTGGATACATTTGCATTTCTGTTGTTGCCAGTCTCCTGGTTTCTGCTCTCTCTGGAGGGACCTACTATTTGGTGTCTTTCTGACAGAAGAGCAAATTGTTGCTAAAACAGTGAAAGAGAAATACATTTTCTATTTTTTAAAACTGCCTTCTAAACTCTCCAGATAAAACTCTAATTTAGAATTCAAAACTTTACACTTTTTGAGTTTTTTGCTTTTGCATCGTATAATCATTTGTTTCCTTCACAGAAAAATAAAATTTTAATTCTCTGTCTGCAGATCATAATGGAGTCAGTACACTCTAGGTGTCATTTACCATCTTGTATTAAAGATTGCTGAACACTAGGAAAACTAATTCCAGATTTATCGGAATCTGATCTAAAATCCTTGGTGTGTTCAGTCGTAAAAGCTATTGGGCACAGATTCATTAATTATGCAAATTAATTATGAAATTTTTATTTTAATAGCTCCAGTTGCACCAACAGATGGGGAAAAAGTTGAGCTGACAGTGAGATGAGCTAGTGACAACTCATGGTTAAACACTGTGACATGGATTAAAGTTTACATTATCACTCTTTGCTGAATTTGTCTCGATGATCTAGGAATTAACTGTATTATATTGCACAGATATATAATTTTTTTCATGGAGAAAACAGTGTAAATACCAAGATTAAAAATATGATATACAGACCACTAGCTGCCTGTGTTTGGACGTGCATTTGAAAAGTGCCTGGCAAACTGTTTTTATTCGTTTCAGATGGATATGTATATCTAGAATTGTCTAAATAATATCTACTGAGTAATCACACTGATTATGCATTAATTTTCCAACACCAAATTTTTATTCCTCTTTCACATATTGCCTGCTTTCTCTCAAACTTCCACTTACTTTACATAAGTTCCACACATATGCTGGAATATATATTTACTCATGGCAAGGTTTGTCTTACCTAACCATATCTGCCCAAAGAGTTGGGCATCTAGTCCAAACTACTTTTGGCTAAGTAGTGCAGAAAGACAGATGCCTCTAGACAGCAGTTCATTTAATCCTATAATGGTTTTCTGGAGATTTCTGTTTAAGGTTTCCTTCCAAATGGCTACGGTTAGATGAAAGAGGTGAGCCCCATTCTCAGAACTTAAAAAAAGTCATTTGTTTATTATTTATATGAGCCTGGGTGCCACATTCAATAACAAGGGTCAGATTCAGGAAACCATTCGTATGCAAGACAGGCTGTCACCATGTGGCTAATTTCATCCACGTGCTTAAGTTAAATTTCAGCTAATTCTTCTTTAGCTATAATATATACTTACTATTATATGCAAAAGATTTAAGATAACACTAACAAGTACTTCAGTTCTTACTGAAGCTGACATGTAATACAATCAAACATGGCATACACATGCAAATATACATGTATGAAATTCAGTATATTATACAGGCCAATATGTATACGTGTGTGTACTAAGTGAGCACCTGTGGCCGTGCAAGACTCGGAGATGATGAAAAGGGAAGAAAACTCCAAACCTTTGAAAAGAGTTCCTCTGAAACAATTACCAAAAACATTATAGGTCTATATTCTGCAAATACATGTGCATATGATTATGAATATTCATGCAAGTGGCTCCACCAAAGGAAAAGGGAAGCACTTCCGAGTAACGCTGAGCATGTGCACAGTTCCACCACTGAAACTAAATGTAAAAATAAAGTGTAGAAAATATTACCTGTAGCAGTTATTGTTATAGTTATTGTAACTTCCCAGGGCTGTCAAGCACCCCAAGCAGATCGCATAAGAGAAAAATATCTGTGTACCAGCATCCACCCACACCTGAAGACAAAAAAGAGGTTATAAAAGGTCAAGGAGGAACCATCTTTATGAATGCATTAAGTGCAAATTTGCAGAGGCAACTGTAGAGGGTAATAGCGTCCAGCAAACTTTCTGTAAGCTACACTAAAAAAAAAAATGCTGACAGTTAAATTCTCCTCCCCTTCCCAGGGGTATAAACAAGGAATAACTCAGCTGGTCTTTACCAGTTCAACTAATCAAGTAGAAAGAAACATAGAATTCCTGGTGAAAAACCTTACTCAGTATAAATTCCTTAATGACTTTACTACCACTATAAGGTATAATTGCAAGCTAAATAGAATCTTCTGCAAATATCTCAAAATCATTTGATAATTATTTACTCAAATTCAAAAGTTCAGGGTGAAAAAACACTCCAAAGACAAAATATGCCATTCAAGGATAATATACAAAGTAACATGAGCCAAGAAGGAGAACAGACAAATTAAGCGGGGAATTTTTCTTTTCAGCAGTACCTAATGGTGCTGCTGGTTGTTCTGGTCACTGTTCGATTGAAGAATAACAGTTCTGTAGAGCTGGTCAAGTAAGTAGCCTTATAACATTACTGTGGCAATATTTATATACCAAACTGATCTAAATACTGCATTCTAAATCAGAAGGCGAAAAAAAAAAACCATGAGCTGACACAATATGATTATTCTCTTCCCAGCAATCTCAGAACATGAATATAAGACACAACTTTCTTGGCTCTTTTTTGGTATAAAAAAAAAAAAAGTACCCCAGCCAAACAGCTTGTTTCATTAAGCTTGTCTCACTACAATCTTGGTGTGTTACTGCTTGATAGCAAAAATGAGTATGTTCTTTTAACTCCTGATTTTGCTATCAGACTGATGTGAACAACCTACCTACACAGTTGGACTATTATTTCCAGTCCAATAAACTCTAACTCCTGGATTCCTGGGATAAACAAGCTCGATGAGTTTTCTTTTTAACGCACAGCAACCAAAATGCTTTTCAGAGAAGTAACAAAACACTGCATGGCTGATAACCAGAGGCAATAGCTGTAGCCGTTAGCTACTGTAAGTCTGAGACAGGTAAGAGATCAAATTTCACTCAGGTAATGATTTCATGACTATACTAATAATTGTAATCAAATACACATGAATATATGAAGAGGATATATTTGTTTTACATGTGATCAAGTGAGGCCTTGGTCTCTGGAGTTGCTGAGAGTGTTAGTGTTTAGGAATAACATTAAGATCACATTTTATTCGCATCAGTGGATTAAATGGTTTCATTGCTGTCATATCAAATAAGATACAGCTGATTACATCTCAAAGTTTCACCACTTGCTAAGGAAAAAACAGCACAGAGAAAGCCTTTTGACAGACAGGCTCTTTAACAAGATCAGAAGCTCCCAGAAAGCTGCAAGTAGCATAGGTCAACTGAAAATGCACGGTCTTCTTAAGCCCAAAGAAAAGCCAGGAAACTAGATCAGCAAATGTGGAATCTGCTCTTTCCTTCCGTTTCCGTTTTTGCACAATGTATTGTTGCAGAGCATTGTATGGCACTTAGATGAGCAACAGCCCTTCCTGTTGACATATGCCAGCTCCACAGAGGTCTGATTATTCTTGGGACTGCAAGTCCTCGTGGAAATGGGGGCAAAGAGGAACGGTACTCTGAAGTGAGAAACTCTAGAGCTGTTTGAGAAGCAGAGCAGAGAAAATAACCCTCTGGACGTCCTTGTTCAGAAACAGATAAAAATCTGTTCTTAAGTGATATAATTTCCGTCAAAGAAAGCATGTCTCCTCTAAAGACTGTGACATCTAACAGTGAATCAAAATAAAAATAACGCTAATACTTTCAATGGAACTTATTCTTGTAAGCGAGTGTTTACATGTATTATAAAAGTTGAACCAGACTGAAGAAGCCCATGTTTCTGTTGCACCATATTACATCAAATTAGAAATTCTACAAGTGGCAAACACTGAAATGAACTTAGAAATCACAGGTAGTCTTTTGGTAGGTGGGTATATATGAGGGATGGACTAACGCTGTGATATTTTGTCACGAGGCTGGGTATGTTAACCTTTTAAGGGTAAGTGCTTCATATTACAGCTCACTTCTTTATACACTTGGCCCAACAGCAAGTAACCGTTTGACACATTCAGTATCAGACTGCAGCGCATTAATAGCGGGAGTTTGTCGAGGTACATGAACAGTTAGGTAGTCTTAGTGCTACTCAGCCTTAGACATTCATAAACAGTACCTCACAGGAATCTCCCCCCCCCTAAAAATATACCTTTCAGGGATACAAATGGCCCCTTGTAGACACCACTCACAAATCCACGCACCATCCATCTGGCTTACAGCAACAAAAGCATTACAAATTATTTTTGAAGGTAGCTGAATCACTGCACTGCAACGTGTGGCTTAGACTAAAAGTTGTAACATTTTCCAAGTACATGGAATGAATGTAGCAGGGTTCCACAGAACGATGAAATTCTGCATGACAGAGACAAAGACAACACTGCCAATAAACTGAAACCCAAGCATTCTGGGGCCAGCAGGTACTGAAAGGCCTGAACAAAAGCAGTAAGCTTTTTCTGGGCTTGATGCATTTCTGGCATGAGTAAATTTCAGAGGAAAAGACCTGCACCAGAGAACATCCTGTTCATACCTTGTATGATTTACATCTTTAAAATCCTTTGGTTAGTGATATTTAAGTCTATTCACATTCATAAGTTTGGAGGTGGAAAATGTTTTAGAGTCCTCCACTAAATCCTACTTTAAAAAAATGGAAACAATGTTTCTTCTTACTTTTATCTCATATTTAAAAAGTTTCCACACCAAAACAAGATGAAAATTCAAGCTCAACCTCTTTATTATATCTCAATATCTAAAAAATCCAAATGTCAAAGAGCAGAACCTTTGTATCTACTATGTTCACATTCTGCCCCCAAGTTACAGCCATTTTCTGCATACACTAGGCCTAGTGCCACATTAGCAGCAGTGTGCGCAAAGTAGAAGAACGAAAAAGCCAGCTCAGAATACAACAGCACAGCTGTTGATCTCACTCCTGTACAGAAACGATTCTTGCTGGCTGCTGAATAGGAAGAAGGGACTGTTACTCAGTGAGCCCATGCAATGAAGGCTTATTCCCGGAGGGAGGAGGCAAAGCCAAGAAGCCTCAACAGTATGGTACGGCTTGCTTTCTCCTGGTAGAAATGAGCCATGGCAGTGAGATGAAGCAGTAAGCCTCTCCACCTTCCATTCTCTGACTGGGAAGATGAACAGAAGAGCTGTATCTGTACCCTGCTCCCCAGCTTGAGGCCCTCCTAAGCTTCACTTCATTCTACAGCTTTCCTGATTCGCAGCATAAGCTCAAAGGCAGTGGTCTTGGCTGTGCCCTGCTGATAACTAATTCATGTTGGAATAAATATAGTTCCACAAAACAGAATAAATGAGAATATTTTACTGAAAACAGAATGCAAAGTTCAGCTCTCAGAAGCTGGGAATACCTGAAAATTAAGTTTGCCTACATAACCTTAATTCGACCTTCTTGTGTGTAGGTCTAGGACACAGTCTTCATTTACATGATTAGAATACTACCCTAGTCTCTGCCCAAAGAGATGAATCAAGCTAATGAAATGGAGGACATCGTTGTCTGGAGGATCCCTTGCCTCTTTTGTTGCCATAATTGTAGTGCATGCAATGAATGAAGAAGGATAAAAAAGGAAAAAGGAAGATGTGCTGTAGTTAAGACAACAGAATGCGGCTCTGGAGAATTAAGATTCTTTTTGTGTCTCTGCCATAAAGTTCCGATGTGACGTTATGGCCATAAATCACTTACTTAAACCAACCTTTTCACAGCTGTTTACTGACTCGATAGTCCTCATTTAATGGGTGTCCAAACTAAAGTACAAAATTACTGAGAATTCAGTGTTGCAGCTAAAGTGAATGGAATCAACGTCTGGAATAAGTAAAGAATTACAGAGTTTAAAAAGCCAAGTTCTGCAAATTTCAATTTGAAAATCCCCAAATGAGTGGCAACTTCTTGTTTTAGTCTTACTTTATATCTCTTTACATCAGTAAGGTGGGGTCATGCCATACACTGAAAACAGAATTAATGTTCATGAAATACCTGGTGGACAGTAAAAAAAATAAATCTCATATAAAGAAAGACTGAGCCATTTTAATGATGATTAAGGTCTGAACGATATGCAGTATATTTATATGGACAAGCAATGAACAAGAAGGATAAAACAAAATATTGCATAAGTCTCCTGAAATGAGTTTAGTCAATCCTGCACTTGAATAAAGCAGAGACCCCAGGGAAAACCTGTTATGTGATCACATTATTTAATTCCATAACTCAGGGAATAAAAATAAACATTGCTCATCTGAAGGTCCACTATTAGACTCCAGGCCTTTCACGAGCTTTGTACCTTCCCTTTACTTTGCATAGTCTCTCTATATACTTCCTGTACACAGTTTTGACAGCTGGTCATGCAGTACCTCCATGTATAGAATCACTGCTGCCACTTCTCAATACATATCACTGCTTTAAAAGAAACATGCAGTACATATTGTGATAGCATCATGTGTAACAAGTTCTAACAAGTCAAAAAGATATGAAAAGTTACAGAAATTGGAATTCCCCACTGAAAAAAGGAGCCCTTATTTCTAAATATCTATTTCCTCCTTAGATGGAATCTAACATTACTACTCGCTGTTAGTCACCATACTGAACATCCGAGGACCTCTTGATGTTTTCTTAACTTCTGCTACAAGTTTCTTTTTTTGCTCCCTCTACTACGTTCTCGTGAAACTTTGGCGTCCATGCAAAGAGGAGACCAAGTCTTATTCTACTAAATATCCACAAAGTGGCTTGCTGCCTGCACAGGGCCTGTGGGTACAGTATTTTGGTGACAGACATGAACCTGCCCTGCTCATCCTTCTACTGCGTGGGACACATGGGAATACTAAACCAAATGTGATGATGAATCCAAGCCAATAAATCT